CGAGCCTTACCGCATTGAATGCGGTCTCATCAAGGGAATGGTGTAATTAATAGTTTGCTTTCCCAAGTCGCGTGTCAGCAACGGCATGCGGTTTCTCTATCTTCGATGTGATATCATTCGCCACGCGTCCATCCCCTATTGGCTGTGACCCCTGCANTCGCTACGCGTCCATCCCTTATTGGCTGTGACCCCTGCATTCCAGTACGTTCTGACACTAATTGTGTAAGACGAGATCATGATGAATAGCCTAGACTAATGACCTGTACGTCAATAGCTTATCCTGGAGTAGAGGAAGCGTCTAGGACGGGGTACCTCTCGGCACCGAGGAAAGGNGAGCAAATCACGAACACTAAAATTTAGCGGATAATTACAATTACCTCTCTTAATTAGAGGGGTAGCGCGATCATCTCAAATAAACACTAGCAGGCAGCATCATGTGCCCGCAACACTGGGAACCTAAAAGAAGTCAAAAGCCATGCTTGATACTGAACAGTTTCAACCATTCAACTGAACATTCCTTTTGCTTCATGACGGTCAAGTCACCGATAAGGTTAGGTGTGCGTGAAAGATCCAGCACAATATAAAAAACGAGAACAGATCTCTCCCTTGGTGAACTCGAGTGAGCCAGTTGAGTGACCAACCACGCTGCTTGGAACAGCCTGCGAGGTCCGGTGGTAACCTGGAACGGCAACGGGAGACCCTGGGGGAGTGGAAGAGCGATCCAGTAAGGCTGAAAGAGGTTCCTGGAACAAAGAAGAACAAGTTAGAAGGGCGCCGGAGTGTTTTCCGGTGTATCCCCTCCGACGATCCAGTCAGTCTTTGAGAAAGAGAGATGAAGGAGAAAACACTGAGTGTGTATTGTAGTAAAGAGTTTTTTGTTGCATACCCGTCTTGCCTTTTGCAAGGAGTATTTATACCTCAAAAGCTCATGATTGCTGTCAGTGTAGTCAGTAGGTGATCATTAGGTACAGGCAGTGTGCGCACTGATTCTGATGAGGAATGTCTTCTCTTCTTAACTGCTCGGGGTCCCGAGCAATCAATGTTGTATCATCGGGATGCCGACGATACAATGTACTCCTCTCGGGGAGGATGCAATAAATGCTCTGTATTAGGAGCATTTATTGCCTTTCATTTCCGAGCCTTACCGCATTGAATGCGGTCTCATCAAGGAAATGGTGTAATTAATCGTTTGCTTTCCCAAGTCGCGTGTCAGCAACGACATGCGGTTCTCTATCTTCGATGTGATATCATACGCCACGCGTCCATCCCCTATTGGCTGTGACCCCTGCATTCCAGTACGTTCTGACACTAATTGTGTAAGACGAGGTCATGATGAATAGCCTAGACTAGCCTAGGCTAATGATCTATACGTCAATAGCTTATCCTGGAGTAGAGGAAGCGTCTAGGACGGGGTACCTCTCGGCACTGAGGAAAGGCTCATCTCGGAACTGAGAGAGGTATACCGACCGAGGTACCATATCAGATCGAGGCTACGTGTTGGTTGTAACTCGTACTGAATGCCATGATCCTATATGACGAGTACCTCGGGGATGAGGACATTTATGCTCCGATGGTGCTTGATCTTAGCAACAGTGTTTTGGTAAATACCGATGATACGTGTCTTCATCATGGAGTATTTTAGAAAAGTCTCATCATTAGGGTAGGTGTCTTATTACATAAATAGATATTGTAACAAAAGATCCAACCAAAAATAAATGCTAAAATCATCCANATTTATGCTCCGATGGTGTTTGATCTTAGCAACAGTGTTTTGGTAAATACCGAGGACACGTGTTTTCATCATGGAGTATTTCAGAAAAGTCCCATCATTAGGGTAGGTGTCTTATTACATAAATAGATATTGTAACAAAAGATCCAACCAAAAATAAATGCTAAAATCATCCAACACAAAAAACTTGTTCGTAATTTGGGTCTACTTGTAAGCAACTAATAAGCAAGTCATGCTCATTTTTTTATGTATCTCTCTCTCCACGTGCATTTCACGCTTTCTCCTGATTTGATCACCATATACAAAACCATATAGGGAAAGTCCACCAGCTATGCGCTCCAAAAGTAAACGCTTTCTAAGAATAACAATGCTATAAGAATTTAATGACGTGATTTTAATGTAATTATTAAATTAATTGTGAATTTTAATGTTAAATAGAGTCTACAATTAATCTAATAATTATATTAAATTAAGTCCCTATATTAAATTTTTAAATTAAATTCAAATAACATTTTCTTTTAACAATTTACACCTCAGCTTTTGATATTGCTCTATGTCAACATCAACCACTCTCTCTCTCTCTCTCTCTCTCTCTCTCCAAGGGCGGAATAAGGTCTGCACGGAATAAGGTCTGCACAAACTTGGATGATAAGTGGAACACCCAATAAAAGATCGCAGGACCATGGCCTGATAGTCTCCTCAATCTATCTTCTTTTGTAGTACTAATGATCAAGATAATAAATAAACCTGCCGGCAATCTGGTCTGACACATCATCAGCTTAGAACAGCCATGCCCTTGAGGCGGCCCCCCAATTGTTCTGCACCACAGTCCAACAGCCTCGAGCCCTTTGGCTGTCTCTTTTTGGAATTGTTCCTGCTACTACTACTTGTAATCCTATCTTTTTCCCCTAATCCTTGTTATGCCTCTTGCAACCAACTTGATCGCAAAACCCTCTTGTCCTTGTCCATCAACAATGCTAGTACACCACCTTTAAATTGGTCTTCTGTTGATTGTTGCTTCTGGGAAGGCATCTCTTGCGACGGTAAAGATCGAGTAACGCATCTATGGCTACCCTTCAGTGGTCTTCGTGGAAGTATACATCCTTCTATTACAAATCTCACCCATCTCTCTCAACTCAATCTCTCTCACAATTGGCTCCATGGCCCTCTCCCAGATGGATTCTTCACGTCCTTGAATCTCCTCCAGATCATTGATTTGAGCTACAACAGTCTCTCTGGACAACTACTATCATCTGATAGATTGCCAATTACCATTCAGGCAGTGGATTTATCCAGCAACCACTTGAATGGAACAATCCAATCTTCATTTCTGCAGCCAGCATTGAATTTGGTAAGTTTCAATATTAGTAACAACAGCTTCACCGGCCCTATGCCTTCCTCTATCTGCAGTAATTCACCCTCCCTCATGCTTCTTGATCTCTCGTTTAATGGCTTCATCGGTCATATTCCCCAAGGATTTGGGGCGTGTTCCAAACTGAAGGTCTTACGAGCAGGTTTCAATCTTCTCTCAGGACAGCTTCCCAGTGATATTTACAGCGCTAGCGCGCTGAAAGAACTCTTCTTACCTGTAAATAAGCTCTCTGGAACCATTGGCGAAGGGATTGTTAACCTCGTTAACCTCAGAATCCTTGCACTCTATGGTAACGACTTTATTGGCATGATCCCTCAGGATATTGGGAAGCTAACAAGCTTGGAACAGTTGCTCCTCCACATTAACAACCTGAATGGCACTCTGCCCTCATCTCTGATGAATTGCAGCAGTCTCATAACCCTCATTTTAAGGGTCAACTCCTTCGTAGGTGAACTCTCCAGCTTAGATTTTTCCAAACTTGTTCAACTTAGCACAATTGACCTTGGGAACAACTTCTTCACTGGTACCTTGCCACCTAGCCTTTTCTCCTGCAAGTCACTGACAGCAGTCCGGTTGACTACTAACCAGCTAGAGGGAGAGGTCTTGCCTGAGATACTTGCATTACAATCTCTGTCCTTCCTCTCGCTTTCTAATAACAGCCTAACGAACATCACAGGGGCAATGCGGATTTTGATGGGTTGTAAGAACCTCAGCACTGTCATCCTCTCTAAGAATTTTTTCAATGAAGCAATACCAGATGACGAAAGCATAGTGGATCCGGAAGGATTTCAAAATGTCCAGATTCTGGGTCTAGGTGGTTGCCAATTCAGTGGTCAAATTCCCTCTTGGTTCGCTAAGCTAATGAAGCTAGAGGTACTTGATCTGTCTATTAATCGGTTAACAGGCTCAATTCCAGCTTGGTTTGGGACTCTTCCAAATCTCTTTTATATAGACTTGTCCGAAAACCTCCTTGAGGGAGAGTTTCCAAAAGAACTTACCAGACTGCCAAGGTTAGCATCACAGCAGGGTGCTGATCAGGTAGACCGCAGTTATTTAGAGTTACCCGTCTTTGTTCAGCCCAACAACGCTTCAAGTCAGCAATATAATCAGCTCGCTAATCTGCCACCTGCGGTATACCTAAGAAACAACAGCGTCAATGGTAACATCCCCAGCGAGATTGGCCAACTGAAGTTTATTCATGTCCTGGATCTGAGTCTTAACGATTTTTCTGGCAGTATTCCTGATACAATATGTAACCTCACTAATTTGGAAAAACTGGACCTCTCTGAAAACCATTTTTCAGGTCAAATCCCTGCCTCACTCAAAAATCTCCATTTTTTGTCATCATTTAGCGTTGCAAACAACAATCTTCAGGGCCCAATACCAACAGGAGGCCAGTTTGATACCTTCCCCAAGTCCAGCTTTGAGGGAAACGAAGGATTGTGCGGTCCAATTCTGCAGCACCCTTGTTCTGATCAGTCGGCCACAACATGCCCTTCAGCAACTACGAAAAGCCCAAAAAAGAAAATCATCATCGGACTCATCCTTGGGATCTGTTTTGGTATTGGCTTCACCCTCACTGTGCTAGCATTGTGGATCTTGTCCAAGAGGAGAATCCTTCCGAGAGGTGACCCACAAAATATTGAAATGGATACTATATCCGTCAACTCCAATTCTGGAATATCTGCCGAGTTTGGCAAGGATAGAAGTCTAGTGACATTGTTTCCAAACAATACAAACAATATCAAGGACCTCACAATCTCTGAGATCTTGAAAGCCACTAATGATTTCAACCAAGCAAATATCATTGGTTGTGGGGGTTTTGGTTTGGTTTACAGAGCCACTTTTGCAAATGGGGCCAAATTGGCTGTCAAGAAACTTTCAGGAGATATGGGTCTGATGGAAAGAGAATTCAAAGCAGAGGTAGAAGCTCTATCCACAGCCCAACACACAAATTTAGTTTCTCTTCAAGGTTACTGTGTGCATGATGGTTCTAGATTACTGATATATTCATACATGGAGAACGGAAGCCTGGACTACTGGCTGCACGAGAAGACTGATGGAGCATCCCAACTTGATTGGCCAACTCGACTGAAGATTGCACTAGGGGCAAGTTGTGGCCTGGCTTACATGCACCAGATCTGTGAACCACATATTGTGCATCGTGACATAAAGTCCAGTAACATACTCCTTGATGATGAGTTTGAAGCACATGTTGCCGACTTTGGATTGTCCCGATTTATTCTTCCATATAATACTCATGTAACTACAGAACTGGTTGGTACCCTGGGCTACATCCCTCCAGAGTACAGTCAAGCATGGATAGCCACTTTGAGAGGGGATGTGTACAGTTTTGGAGTTGTTATGCTTGAGCTTCTCACTGGGAAGAGGTCTGTGGAGCTATTCAAGCCAAAGATGTCAAGAGAATTGGTTGTATGGGTGCAACATATGAGAAGTGAGGGCAAACAAGACGAAGTCTTTGATCCTATCTTGAGAGGCGAGGGATTTGAAGAAGAGATGCTGCAGGTACTTGATGTGGCCTGCATGTGTGTTAATCAGAACCCTTTCAAGAGGCCAACAATCAAAGAAGTAGTTGATTGGCTCAAGCAGGTTGGGGCCACACGGCAGACAGCAAAATAAGGGCAACTATACACATGTATATACAAAACTCTCTGTTTGTTGTTATTGCATATTTTGATGCAATATACTTATGTAACTAGTTGACTGTGCAGGCAGTCCCTTTTCCCCTTCTTTTACACATTAACGTTACCTTATGAGAATGATCAATACATAAGAGAGAAACATTACAACCAAGTGATCAAGGCATAGACTTCCCAAGATCCTTCGGAATGTGTGATTAGGAGTTTGTCATTTGGATTTCATAAAGCAATCGCCCTTTGAACACTATAGTCTGAACCACAAACATCTGTTAAGAGAAACAATAACATTACAACCCAGTGATCAAGGCATATAATTCCAATACATCTGTTAATAAAAACATCACAACCAAGTGATCAAGGCATATAATTCTAATCTCTTCATACTGTGCGACTAGGAGTTAGTCATTTGGCTTTCATAAAGCAATGTCTTTTTGAACACAAAAGTGTCTGTAACACAAACATCTGTTAATTTGTACAGAAATTGCACGTTCAAATCTTCTCATGACTGATACTTGCCCACACAGACAAGTGTATACATATATATTAATTTGTACGAAAGATAAATTTTGTTAAATAGAAAAACTAATATAATTGGGAAAATGATGCTAAGATCTAAACAACTTATTCGCTGAAGAGAAAGAGACACAAAAAAGAATCATAGGTTTGCAAAACGTAAACCATCAACTGCAAAAGCAAATCAATACCATTGTTAGTTATGCTATTATTCTATTGCCATGGAAATAAGAAAAAAATAAGCAAGAATCCACCTTTTCATTGCCCTCAAAAGCCTTTAGGTAAAAATTAGTTGGAGTTTATTCGTATTAGCCCTAAAGAATGCTTTCTAGACCACTCTGGTATGTAACTCAGCAGGTTTCTTGACCTTCTACTTCAACCAGCCATCAAAAGAGTAAATGTGGAATCAAGCAAACCACATAATTGGTGGATACCAACCTTTGTTGCTATTCTTTGTCGGATTCACCAGCAAAAGATAACTCTAGTATATGTTATACTTCAAATTCATATATGATAGTTTCCAATATATCAAACTTGGAAATACAACTAATGAACGAAAGAATTTGCATGTAGAATAGCGAGATACCTCAAAATGTTTTCTGTGTTATCTAAATTAGTCTACCTGGGCGTATCAATCTTCACAATATGTGGGGTGCTGTGTTCCCCCTTCCCATCCCATACCGAAACAATCCACGATTCTTGTAACATCAGGCTTCTTAAAAATTAATGGTTTTTTGCGGGGAAGTGTATGTGTAGTGCATAAGGCTCCTTCCAATTAAGAGTAATTTATTCGTCTCCTGAGCCTGTGTGCATACTATTTTTCCATTTTTCTTCTTGGAGAGGGGGATGAGGGGGAACTGAAAACATAACACTCGTGCATCAAATCCACTCTTAGTGGAGCAAGTAGACTGCAAATACAATCCAGACCAAAAACAACTACAAATATAATGCAATATACTGGAAAAGAAAAGTTCTGAAAAGAGGAGTAATGGCTTAATCATATGTACACAGTCAAAGAAGGCAAATTATATTTGTCCAGTGGCCCTCTTCACAGCTAACACAAGAGGACAATTGCACGCTAAATCAAAATTTGTGAACATGCAGCTCAATGGGTCTTGTTTTTCTCTTCAATGGAGCTTCCACAATTATGGAAAGCTCAGAACCCTGTTTGATAGTGGTTTGTAGCAGAATTCCTCGCATGGTAATAGAAATTGAGAGAAAGCTTGAAGGGGCGAATATATTTGCTAATAGCTGGTTTCAATTTTTTTTTTTGGGGGGATACGCTCTTACTGAAAGAGACAAGGCCATGCCTATTATTTGTTATTATGAGTTCCTTGAATCGGTGCTCAACATCTACTTTTGAGAATCAAGTATATTGATGACAAACATTTGGAAAATGTAGGGAATAGTACCTGAACCATTGGCATTGCAAGTAAATTAGAGTCTTTCAATTCCACCACCACTCCAAGTGTCCCCACACAAAGCCACATATCCAAAAGGATTTTAATTAGCATCAAGGAAGAGTGACCTTACAAAAGCTTAAGTTAGAAAGAACTAAGGCTCTGAAACAGGTTTGTCAACTATAATGATTCCTTAAAAGGCTTATACAGGTGGTTAGTATAAAGCACATTATGAAAAGATTTAATGCTGCACCCAAATTCAGTTCACACAACATAAATAAATTTATATTTCTAACAAGAATGTACAAAAGTTTCAACATTTATGAAGTTAGGAATATATGAACAATAAAAATAATAGTTTCTGCATATTGTGTTGTTAAAAACAGTAAAAAGAAATTTCTATTCGTGAGGCAGAGGCAGAGGCAGAGGCAGAGCCTAAGTGTCACGGGATTAATTTTCTCACCAAATTTCTGTCTGGTGATGGCACTAAAATCCCACACTTAGTATCAGTAAGACATTTAGAATGTACACAGAATGCACAGAGAGCTGAGAAGGGACAGTAATCAGACACACAGACAGAGCACACAGAATTTACAGGCAACAGCTAAATCTTTTTTTTTCAATAAAGTATAAGGAATTCAACCTTGAGTCTGTTTACAAAAACGTGTCAACCGCCTAGGCACATGCCTATAATTGAAATGCTATCAGAGGTCTGCTGTGATTGGATGATATGAAAGTTATAACTGGAGTCTGCAAACTTCCTTGCATGTATGTCTGAATCTGATAGAGATCCCACATGTTATGCATTTGCTAAAAAATTGTCTAGAACTGTCATCATCTGCAAGTCACATGCCCAACTTCCTCACATGATGTGCATGTGTCAGGAGTCCTCAGCATCTGAATTGCATTGCCTTCGTGTCTAACCATGGCCCAGCCCAGGGCTCATTATTCAAGTTAGTATTACTCCACAATTCAAGCCACCCGCAACCTTGCTTGCATACCGACTTGTGCCCACGTACCCATGTGCATAAATTGTCTCCCTCAATTATGCACGAGACTTCTGTCATTTTGACTAAGGCATGGGCGCCTTTGGCCAAGGCCACCTGATGCCAATGGCTAAGGGGATAACACTAGGCTAGATGTAGTACGAGGGACAGATTTGAGAGCTAGACATACACAATTAGGCAGTCTGTAATATATGTGCATACATACACTTGTGTGCGCGTGTCCATGGGTGGGTATGCGATCGAGTAAAGGAGGGAGAGTTGGATACTAGTAAGCTGACTCTGGTTATGTTATGGCATTCTCACAAGCAGGTGGCAGGGCTAATCAACATGCATCAAACTTTAGTTTTATTTGTACTGTTGGCGTTAAGATATCATTGGTTTTTTCCCAAAATTAGAGAATAACTTACTTTCCATTCCCGAGATTATCATATAGTATCGGAAAACTAATAATTTGAGATGGAGAGTGAGTGAAAGATAAGAAATGCAAAGACGGGAACGAAATATTCAATTCTTTTCTTCCCCTTTGTTAGTTCACGACGGGGGAAAAGCAGAACACTTTGGGGCTAATTGGTAAGGGAGGATTGGGGTTGACAAGATGGATTTGAGAAAAATAATTTCAAAAATTTTTAAATTTTATATTTGGATTGAAGATTTAATATTGAGTTCCCAAATTTGGTCTGATCCGAATATTAAACTCATAATCATGAGTTTCGTCAAATTTAGAGGGGATGAGTTTGGAAAGATGAGTTAAGAATGCAAAAAATAATTGTATCATTTAACATGATTATGATTAACAATTATTTGTCCTATAAATGACTATATTAAACATGAGTGTGAATCAAATTTAATGTTGAATCTTATTTTTATAAAAAAAATAAATAAATTTAAAAAAATTTAGAGAAATCAATCCAAACTCTCCCCATAAATTCATCCAAACAAACCCTTTTGCGTAAATAANTAAATAAATTTAAAAGAATTTAGAAAAATCAATCCAAACTCTCCCCATAAATTCATCCAAACAAACCCTTTTGCGTAAATAATGTGCTTCTATTAATTAGCTAGTTAAGGATTACATCCATCATAACCTTTTTTTTATTCTTAACATGGGTCACATCATATATTACATATAACTAAATTGGGTAAACAACAACATATGGCATACATTGGTACTCCGGCCCCCTCCACCATTTCATTTCGAGCAATGTTTCGTAGTTTTAAAAATTAGACTTAAAAATTAAATTTGATAATTATAATTATTAATTTTATTGTGAGTCTTAACATTTATTAGAATCTACTATTTATTCAATGATTGTAAGTATTAAATCTAATTTTTAAATTCATATAACGTTACTCATTCCATTCCATACTATCTCATTGTTTTTTATTTCTAGGGTTTCATTAGATCCCTCCCTTTGTATTCTACGGTCACCCTTAATACACTTGGGGTATGTTTGGTTAGAGGATAAAGGTGGTATAAAAAGGTGGGAATAAGAAAATAGTGCATGAGATTCACNGAGCAATGTTTCGTAGTTTTAAAAATTAGACTTAAAAATTAAATTTAATAATTATAATTATTAATTTTATTGTGAGTCTTAACATTTATTAGAATCTACTATTTATTCAATGATTGTAAGTATTAAATCTAATTTTTAAATTCATATAACGTTACTCATTCCATTCCATACTATCTCATTGTTTTTTATTTCTAGGGTTTCATTAGAACCCTCCCTTTTTATTCTACGGTCACCCTTAATACACTTGGGGCATGTTTGGTTAGAGGATAAAGGTGGTATAAAAAGGTGGGAATAAGAAAATAGTGCATGAGATTCACCTTATACCTTGTTTATTTAGCATTTTTCAATCGGTATTATTTTTCGCGTCATAGTACTAATTCGGTGTGAACAATCACTGTTATGCCTTTTATATGGTACTAAGCAATACTGCCTACCCGATGATATTATATTTTTGGTACAAATGAAATTGAGGTATAAGAGAATAAAATGACACAAATACCCTCCTATGTGAAGAGTTCACGTATAAAATATTTATTTTGAATTTTTTTTATATTATATTTAAATGTACTATGTCACCGTTTTTTTTTTAATTTTTTTTTATATTATGTTAACTGTATGGTATTAACAAATTTTTTTTAAAAAAAATTATTTTAAAGTTTTTCCTTTTATTATGTTTAAGCGTATTTAATT